AAGGAAAGTGGCACATGTTTGTTACAATCAACTTCTATATATATTCAATATCATAAAATAAGATTGCATAAGGTTATTTTAAGGAGTTGTTATACTATGTTTTAGCAAGTAGCATATGCCCAAAATTTTATTGGATATTCCTTTACTCAATGTAGCTTCATGATAAGATTTTTGCCTCATTTTCTCATACGTTTTAATAGATTCTATGGATACACTATATATAAAAAGGATTGTAATCAATCATCATTACCTAATAATTTTTGGCATTAAATGACATAATAAAAAGTTAATTATGAATTTGATTCTCGTTGTAATTATGAATTTGATTCTCAATTCTTCCATAATAATATACGCATTGCGCGAATAAACTGATGTCCAATATGAAACTTAAAATAAGTAAATGATTAATGATTAATATAATTTTATAATATGAAATTTAATTAATATAAAATAAAATTGATTATTTTCATTATAATCAGAATGCGTATTTTATATTTTTGATAAAAATAATAGTAAAGATAAATATTATTATATATATATTTATGATAAAAAATAAAAATTCTATTCTAATAATTTTTATATTAAAATAAATTAAGTAATTGCACCCCACGTTGACCTCGCTTAAATATTTATTTATCAGTTAACATTCAAATTAGACCTCGTTATTTATGCAATATAATAATTATGCAAGATTCAAAACGAATGATTAACAATGAATTTTAAACCTCTATACATTGTGATAACTATAGCCATATTGTTTTAAATATGATAATTTCAACACTGAACTTTATTCATCCTTTAATCAGAATAATGAATAATTGAACACTGAGTGTTTTTTTTTTTTTTTTTTTTTTGCGTAATATATATATTTTTCTATTTAGTAATTTCTAATATAAAAAAGTAAGTAAACAAAAATAATAATAAAGGACAATTTTAGTAGGGTATTTTGGGTCGGAAAGCAAAATTGTATCAAAATTGATATGGAATTGTCAAATTAAAAAGCTATACCAAAATTGTCAAATTTGTATATTAAAAAAAAAATTGACAAAATTATTAACAAGCATAAATGTTGGATTTTTTAACCAATAATTCTATAAAATAAAATATAATTGCCTCAACAAAGCAAATTATTGCACAGTGACTAATCCCTATAGATGAATTGTATACATGCTTCAAACCCAAAGTCAAAGATCAAACCCTTGACATTTGGTTAAGGATGAATGAGTTCCTTTTGCTTAACCACACCCCAGTTAAATTACATTTTGTGAATGATCATATATAATTAACTCAAAGGGAAAGTGATTAAATATGATTATATATCTTACACTGAAAATTTTGTTATAATAATAGGATTATATTGCTCCAATATAAGGTTCTCATCAATAGTAGAGTGAAAATGTCGATTTTTTTTTTTTTATTGTTTAAATTTGCCAATCTTAATTTTATCAAACAAAATACATGTTGCCATATAATATTTATTACAGTACTTAAGTAAAAAATTTAGCTTCATCATCAAAATTAATTTATGAGTGGAGATTTGACCTCAAATTAAGGATCACGATTGTGGAGCTAATATGAAATCATATATCATTCTTTTCAAAAGGTTGAACCCCAACCTTAAGGGCCCCACACCCCGACCCGACAGAGCATCTGGGAGGATGTAAATCATGGTAACTCAATTGAACATGAATCACAGAGTCCAGACCTTTGCTTATAAAATCATATCAGTGCCCACCCATTGAGAAATCGACATTCGCGGCGGCCTACCATACTTTAGACAGTTTACACTCCAAACTCTTTTCGACACCAATTAAGTAGTCATTTTCTTCATTGGGTAGGCCCGGCCCTCTTCAAACTAGTCCTTTTCCGTCACACCAGCCTCTCAACAAGAACACCAATTCAATAATACGATACTTAAGTCAATATCCTAACTCCATCACAAAAGTTAGTTAATGAGTTGAGATTTAGCTCTAATTTAAATATCACTCTACAATCTATGATCTTGTAGAATAATGTGATATCGTATTAATTATATAGGATTTTTATAAAAATAGATTATAAAAATATTTGAAGTATTATATTGTTGTATCATACTACCATGGCAATACACTTTTTTTTTTTTTTTAATAAATTAACTAACCATAGTTAAATTAACCATCGTACTACATTCAAACTTATAACTATCATCAAGAGAGAGAGAGAGAGAGGATTTGTAAATTGTGGTGTGATATATATTTAATATGAACCGCTCATGTTGTTTCATTTTCAGACATGAGATCACGTATGTAATTGGCAACTACGTACCACAATTGTAGACTGTCGACGTTTTTACAACTTAATTAATATTTTATCGTACACATCCATACACAAACTCACTTCACTTATATTTAATTAGTACATAAATACATATGTAATATATTTTCATTACAGAAATATCCAAATTTTAATATGAAATATAATGTTGTTCTAATTAACCACACATATATTAAGTACAAAAATACATATATTTAATTGAAAATTAATGGTGAAAAGTTGTGGTATTTTATTATTATTATTATTTTTTTTTTTATGAAAGAAAAGTTGTGGTATAATTGAAAGTAAATATATATAGAAATACTCTTATTTGCGTACGCTTGTAATTAAAGATCTTATAAAAAGCTGTTTAATTGAGTACAGTTGCGGTTGGAGCTGTCGGATCACTCAGTAAAGATTTCAATTGGAGAAAAAAATAAAAATTTAGATAAAAGATATAATTATATTAATGATCTAATTGCTCTACTTTCCCTACCACTAATATAATTTCACCATTTTCCCAACCCTCAAGTGGAATAAGAGGTAATTAAACATTTGTGAATAGAGATAACTCTGTTTTAGACAATGGTATTTATTCATTTTTTTGAAAAATATTTTTCAATTTTCTAGATGGTTTATTTTTGTTTGTTTGTTTGTTTGTTTGTTTTTTTTTGTTTTTTTTTTCTTCTGATTTTTTGCCGTCAATTATGAGTCACGTTGCTGCTTACCAAATAAAAAAAAATATCCTTACTTAGAATAGGGTTTCACTGGAAAAAGTCATAGGAAGAACCAAAAGCGTCCAAAAAATATAGTATAGATGTTAACTATACTGACAAAAATAATAATTTTGGACTAAATTTGAAATTGTTACAAAAAATAAGAAATTTCTAGTGAAATTAACTCTACCCAAAATAGTATCATAATTTTTGTTTTGAATTTTTTAACACCCACGATTAATGTTAGTATTTTTTAAAATGTTTATTTAATTTGAGCAATACCAAATTAACAAGATGGTACCAGAGTGATTAAATTTCTGATTATGTAATTAAGTAGCATGGAGACATGGAGTGAGATTTGAGAATGCTGTAGGTGTGCCTGTGTATAATATATGACAGGTCAATAATAACAATAATGTAAAATATTTGATCACCCTGTTTGGTAACATAATTAACTTATCAATTAATTTTGATCTATTTTATTATTATTAGCTATTTGACTTAGTTAACCAATCAAAATGAGTGTTTGAGTACTTAGCTTTTTGTAATAATTTATTGCTTTAAAATGTTAAAATTCAAAAAAGTTGCTCAAAGTACTTTTTGATAAGCTTTTGATAAATTCATTTTGCATGTAATCAGCTATCATCGAACATCTAATTTACCAAACACTTTTTTCTACAATCAGTTAATGCTATCAACTAGTCAAATCCACTATCCCAATAAGCTAACATCTATCTACCAAACAATCCGATAAAAATAGAGTTAATTCCATTTTTGGTCCCACATTTGTAGGTGACAGTCCACTTGTAATTCTTTTTTCTTAAAACATCTTCATTTAATCATAGTATTATTGTGGCATGACCATTTTTAGTCCACCTTCAACAAACTCGTTGAAATGTCGTTAAATACAAAAACATTTCAATCTTTTTTATACAAAGTAAGTTAAACTGCTATATTTTTTATGTTTATTTTTTTGAAAAAATTCATAATTGAAGACTGAAATGTCATTGTATTTAATGATATTTAAACTGTTTTATTGATAAAGGATCAAAACTGGTCATACCACAATAATACTAAGACCAAAAGTAAATATTATAATAAAAAAATTTAAAATGAATTGACACATATAATTTAGACTAGACATATATAAATTTATGATAAAAATAGAATTAACTCATAAAAATATTACAAATAAATGAATATCTCAACAATACGGTAATGCATATTTAACCAATAAATAATATCGTTTTATTATTATTATTATTATTATTATTATTATTATTATTATTATTATTATTATTATAAAATTTGAAATCTTACCTTTTAAAGATTTGGAAACCTCACGAGATTAACTACCAAAAGAGTGTCACTCACTTTACATATTTTGAAAGTAAATATTCTATTTGATCTGGCATATTTTTCCTTCATAATATCTACATTTTTAGATGGTAAATCCTGAATTAAATTAGTAGTAAGAAAATTATACTCGGCCTATTCGATTATCTCTTTTAGAAATAATATAAAGAATTTTATTGTCATACTAATAAGTAAATATTATCATAAGAAAAAATAATAACATTTTATAATTAATTAATTAACTAATCTGTAAAAAATGTTAGACAAAAAAAAATTAATGGTAAATGAATCAAAAAATATATTATGAAAAGTTATGATACAACATGAATAATTCGATATAATTCATGGTGTGAAATGACACTTCAGCTAAATAATTACTCCGTATTATTTTATTTCTTTTTGGGTAACCACGCTGATTGTTTTAGAGAAGATATTTGGCGTGGAAAGCAAATCTACAGTTTACAAGCAGAATAGGGGAAAATGGAAAATGGTTGGTCAAACCGTCAAAGGATGGTGTGGGGAAGAGTGTGGACGTATGGTTAACTGGTAACTTCAATGGAGTAATACGCAACTCTTTGGGTACGCGTTCATACTCGTATTTTATATATGTCAATACCAATATATGCGTACATCTGCAGAACCAGAAAGAGAGAGAGAGAGATAGAGAGAGAGAGAGAGAGAGGGGCAAACATTGTATTGAAACACCGCAGAAAAAGCAGTCTAAAAAGACACTATCTTTCATTTTGTCTATGGTGTATATACCTTGCCCAGAAGCAATAGCGTATAGCTAAACCCTTGTTGTGGTACTGTTTGTACTTGTTTGTTATGGTATTTGTCCCCTTCTGGCTTTCTGTGCTGATCAGGAAGATGGGTGGCCAGATTGATTGATTGATACGCCAAGATTCGGATTCTGTAGACGCGTATTTGTGTGTGATTGTTGAGTTGTTTTCTCTCCGTTTCTTGAGATTGAGATGGGGAGCTTGAGAACCTGATTGGGGTTTGAGTTAATCTGATATATTCGAGGAAAGGGTTGTTGTAAAGTCTTGATCTTCTTGGTGGGGGAACACATGGGTTGCTTCCCTTGTTTTGATTCCAGAGAGGAGGAGACTCTGAATCCCCAGAAGGAGAGAGATGATCGCAAGGAAGTTCATCCAGTTGTTCCCTCCCATATGTCCAGATTATCTTCAGGTCACACTCTTCTCTGTATTTGTGCTTTTACTGATCTAATCTGGTTTATGATGTTTTTTTTAATGTTATTGTATTCGATTCGAGTTGGTTTCTTCTATGAGCTTTATTGGTTCCAGTTATTAGTTGATTAGATGTAAAATTGGGGATGCTATGATGGGAATTGATGAAAGATGTTATCTTTAGTTAATTTCCTTTACTTTAATGACTGATGAAATGAGATCTTAAGGAGATTGTGATTATTGCAGTTTCGATTGGGCTACAATTGGAATCTGGGGAATTGATAATTTGAATGGTTGTGATATTCTTTAGTGCTTTTGGTTTAGCTCAATCTTGTCTAGTTCGTTTCCATTTAGCAAGATCAGGGAAAAGCCGCTTTTCCATTGTCTATGAAATGGATTGCCCCCTTTGTGGATTGTATGATTTATGTAGCAACTATACTAAATTATTTAGAAAGTTAGCATGAGTGATTGAACTTTAATTGAAATTCGAATTATTTTGATGGTGTAATCCAGATTTTGGAAGAACCTATGGATGTGGATTGATTTATTTTATTTTTATTTTCATATCACTTACAGGGGCGGACAGACTAAAATCACGAGGTAACACTGGTTCCAAGAGAGAAACTTCGGGCTTAAAGGATTTACCTGGTGTTCAGATTGCGGCTCATACATTTACTTTTCGTGAGCTTGCGGCTGCTACAAGTAACTTTAGGCCAGAATCTTTCATAGGTGAAGGGGGATTTGGACGTGTATATAAAGGACGACTTGCAAATGGCCAGGTAGTTTTTATTGCCGTATAGCTTTCAGAAATTGATATATTAGTGTAAATTAGTAAGCATTTTTGTTCAATTGTTGAAGTTTTGACAGAATTCTGCAACTAAGATCCTCCTGTCTTCTATAGTCTATTTGGATGAGCTTTCTTTATTGTCTAATTCCTTAGAATTCATTCATACTTGTGGTGCGTATCACTTTCCTAAGCTAAATCCTTTAATGAATAAGAATATCCTCAATGGGAGCTGTTTATTGGCCTTCTTGATTTGAGCTGGTCAGCTATGAGCAATCTAGGTTAGTTTGCCTCCTTCTGGTCCTTTGTCAGCTAGGGCAACGAGGCGTGGTCCTTTGCCAGCTAGGGCCACAAGGTGGGGTTTACCCAGTGTGCACCCTCGGGTGGTGGTTGCGGGTTTTCCCTCGTCACCCAAGAATATTCCTAGCACCTAAAACCCTTTACTTTTTATATCCATTGCTGATTGATACATCTAACAATAATTCTTTGAACTCACAAGTGGACTGTTTAGTGTTGGAAGGGAAATTATGATGTTATTTTCTTGTAAGTGAATAAATGATTTAACATCAATTGAAGATAGCTTACGTAATTTTAGTTTCAATGGTTTATTGGCTTGATTTGATCCTGCGTAACCGCCCCAAGTGTGTCATTTGCTAGTTGCTAGTTGTCTACTTCATCGTCATCTTTTTTATTGTGAAATGAAAAAGTTACCTTTATCCTTTTCTGAATCATCATTTTTTTTTTTTTGGGTGGTGGTTTCTTGACCCATGCAGGCTGTAGCTGTTAAGCAATTGGATAGGAATGGGCTGCAGGGGAATAGAGAATTTCTAGTGGAGGTTCTTATGCTCAGCCTTCTTCATCATCCTAATTTAGTTAACTTGATTGGATACTGTGCGGATGGAGACCAGAGGCTTCTTGTCTATGAATTTATGCCGTTGGGATCGTTGGAGGATCACCTTCATGGTAACACAAACTCTTCATTCTAGTTTTATGTTTTGACCTTCTGTTCTTTATCTCCTTAGCATATAGTTTTTAGTATTGCATCTAGTGGTGGTTACAATACTTTGGCGTGAGTTGGGGAAGGTCAAAACTGGAGCTAATATATAGAGAACAACATTATGGTACTAAAGAACATTATGAATAGTTACCTTGAGCCAACGGTATCATATCAGGAAATAGCTGCGTTTTGGGGGCAACTCCAGTCAAGTTGGCCGAACAGTTGGCTTGGTAACCATAAGGCTCCAAGTTCGATTTCCCGTGGGAGCTGTTTATTGGCTGTCTTGGTTTGAGTCGGCCTGCTATGGGCAACCTAGGCTGGTTTATCTCGTTGTGGTCTTTTGTCGGCTAGGATTACAGGGCGGGGTGGTTGCGGGCTTTAATAAAACCGGTCTACTACTGGCAAATGGGAATTTTATTATGCCCAAAAGAAGACACATTACCAATCTGGTCAGCACTTTGCTCCTTAATTAGTTCTGCCCGGTGCGAACGGGGATTAGTCTAAGTTGGTATGCGCTTAAAGGTGTCTCCTACGGTTAGGGCTGCTCAGGACACTTCATGGTCTGACCCAAAAAAAAAAGAAAAGACACATTACCTAATTGATTCAGCCGCTCCAGGATGATGATGAGTATTATTATAAAAATGTAACTGTTGTAATTGATTGCCCCGATAAGTTGCAGACACAAACTGTTGCCATTTCTGCACAATAGTATAAGTATTGCATGAATTCCGGTATTTTTTGTCGGGAGGGTATTTGAATGTACTCCTTATGCTTTATATGTGTGCCCTCTTTTTTTTTGGATGCTACTGACTTGTATTACAGTGTAGTATCTCCGCTGAGGCTCGAACTCACAACCTTCCAAATGGAAGTCCAGCCCAGATACCATTAGACCACATAGTCTTGTTATGCATGCCCTCCTTAAATAGCAGTGAAGCCAATATATTTTGCTTGATTTAAATTGTTATCCATGCATTTTTGTTTTCCTATGACATGATTATCAGTGATAATTTATGACTTTCTTTCAGATTTACCACCTGATAAAGAGCCGTTGGATTGGAACACGAGGATGAGAATAGCAGCTGGTGCAGCCAAAGGTTTGGAGCATCTTCACGATAAAGCTAATCCTCCAGTTATTTACAGGGACTTCAAGTCCTCAAACATATTGCTAGATGAAGGGTTTTCCCCGAAGCTTTCTGATTTTGGTCTAGCAAAGCTCGGTCCTACTGGAGATAAGTCGCATGTGTCAACAAGGGTCATGGGAACCTATGGCTATTGTGCTCCCGAATATGCCATGACTGGACAATTGACGGTGAAATCGGATGTTTATAGCTTCGGGGTTGTGTTCTTAGAGCTTATCACGGGACGTAAGGCCATTGACAGCACCCAACCGCCCGGGGAACAGAACCTCGTTGCTTGGGTAAATTACATCCTCGTTTCTCTCCTTTATATTTCTTCTGGGATCAAGGTTGAAAAAATCGCTAGGCGCCCTCTAGGCGCCTGGGGACCGCCTAGAGCGCCTAGGCTCGATTTTTGCAACACTGTTTGGGATTATGCTTTCTTAGAGATTGAATGATTATTTATTATCTTTCCCTCCCTGCAGGCACGCCCGCTGTTTAACGATCGTCGGAAGTTTGCGAAATTAGCCGACCCGAGGCTGCAAGGCCAGTTTCCAATGAGAGGCCTTTACCAGGCCCTAGCCGTGGCGTCCATGTGTATCCAAGAGCAGGCTGCAGCCCGGCCTCTGATCGGGGACGTGGTCACTGCCCTTTCCTACTTGGCCAACCAGGCATACGATCCCAGCGCAGCTCCCGGCTTCAAGGACGACAAGCGAGGCCCAAGAATATCGAGGAACGAAGACGGTTCAGGAGGTGGATCGGGACGCAAATGGGACCTGGACGGGTCCGAGAAGGAAGACTCCCCTCGGGAAACCGCAAGAATGCTGAACCGGGATGCAGAGCGAGAGCGGGCCGTTGCGGAGGCGAAAATGTGGGGGGAGAATTTCAGGGAGAAGAGGAGACAAAATGGAGAATTGGAGGGGGGGTCTGAGAAGGAAGATTCGCCCAGGGAAACTGTAAAAATGTTGAACAGAGATTTGGACAGGGAAAGAGCAGTTGCAGAGGCTAAAATGTGGGGTGAAAATTTTCGAGAAAAGAGACGACAGAACACTCATGCCGGTTTTGAGGGCAATAATGGATAGTGGATCCAAGAATGGGAATGGAATGTTGGTTTAGTGAAGGTCAAGTTTTTATCTCTATTCTTGACTCTATTTTACATTTTCGTTTTGGAAATACTAGAACACAAGTGCAAAGGGTGTATATTTTATCGAGGAAATAATAGTAGGTGAGAGTTTAATAACACCCCCCAAACTTTGCCTTTATTGCACTTTTATTTTTCTAGTAATTTCAAATCGTCTTATTTCCCCCCCTCATGCTTTGCACTCTTACGCCATATTCTGCTACGAATTGCATTCGTAGAGTTCAACATTTTATTCAGAAAAAATGGATATTAAATCAGTCGCATAATGCGTGTGTAAAACTAATATATATATTATATATATATATATATATATATATATATATATATATATAGAGGATGAAATGATAACTATTGTTCTCATGCAAACAACACAATCTTGTATTATAGATTGTACAATCAGACATTACAAGATCAAAATGCAAAAGTAATTACTAAAATATATATTTCGAAGATGCATGTGAACAAAGAAAATTGAATAAAATTTAGTAATATTCAAAATTCTAAGTTACATGTTAAATATCAATGGGGTGTGAGTACAAGTCTCTGTATGATCCTCTGATTCTTCAAGAACGCTCCACCATTGAAAGGCCTCCGAGTTTCAAGTGGCTTGATCTTCAAAGAAGGTCTTGTCTTGTATATATAGCTTGTTCTTCAACTCTGGGTTCAAATGACTTGATTTGAGGTCTTGTCTTCCATGATCTTTCCTAGAATTTTTGTGATTACATAGAAATGAAATACCCTATTTATAGTTGTAGGATAGAGAGTTTTGATAAGCTCAAACTCTTTGTTAATTAGATAATATCAATATTATCTAAAATATTTTAAATATATTTAAATATACTAATATTGATAAATAATTAATATTCATCAAAATTTAAATGTCTACAATGCACAATCACTTATCTGCATATACACATCCACACATTACAAATTACATAAAAGATAACTAGCACAGGAAAAGTGATTTTCATTTCATCTTGTCTATATGACTATATATATACATATGGATAGGCTAGCCATCGGCCAACCCTACCTAGGTTAAAATTGAAACACACTCCTTACTTGTATAAAAGATAAGATGAGCTTTTTTGGTTGGCAAAATTTAATTTGACGGTTCTATTGTTAGTATATTATTTGACATGTGTTGTTTTTAGCAAAAATAAAATATTTAGTTAAGATGTATGCACTCACTAGTCACTAGGGAGGGGCATAGACTGCCTAGCCGTCAGCCTAAGTAGCTAGTCATCGTCAACTTATATTCATTAACTATAAATGAAGCATTAAAATAAAAACAAATCTCTTAATTTTGCGGCAAATATAATTTTAGTGAAAATATAATATTTTTTAATTATTAAATATTAATACTTGTTAACATTATTTTATTATTTTATGTGTCTAACTGATAAAAGTAATATTAATTCTGGACAATAATCGATTGTGCTTGATGATTACAATATTTTAAATTTGACTTTTACGTTAGTAAGAGCGATTTATTAACTGTTTTTTTTTTTTGAACAGTGAATTATAAATAACTTAAGATTGTTTATCTCATTGCAATATTTTACCATCTAAATCACAAATGAGTGTTTAGCTAATGCACACAATTGAATAATAGTTACAGATTTCTCTTGTCATAAAAAAGAAGTGACATTAATTTGAATAATTGATTCATTGAAAGATTGAAACTTAAGGCAACAACATTTTTAATGGAAAATCATGTTAAATCGTAAAAAGATTTTGTGAGAAAGTTTATGCGTATGTTACTAAATGTGTTTGCTAGTTGCTAAGTACAATTGCTATCTATTTTTGTATGGAAAACTAAAATGGTCAATGCATAAAAAAGGTTGTATGTAGTGATAGATCTAAACACTTATTGTAAGATAACATCCAACATCTCATATATCATTATCTTATAAAAGTTATGTAACTTTGCTCCCATGTTTATTTATGGGTATTTTTCTACCATACATTGCATGCGTTTGTAACTTATAGAATAATCATATGCAAGTATAAAATAAAAGATGTAAAATATATATAGTAAACATTCAATCTAAGTTATTTAGTCTCTACTTTGATTCAGCTAAGCTATTTCCCTTGATTAGATGCTTCTTGTATCTCCATGTTCACTACATGCTCCGCCACTTTTTTGCCTTCTTCTGCAACTGGTTTTGCCTTCCGATAGATTATATATAGCAAAATTTGTACTAGTGCCAACATAAATCCCAGGACATTTGGCAACTTCAAAATATAAATTATAAAAAGAAAATTAATAAAACTATGTACTTGGGAAAAAAATTCTAGTTACTATATTATTTGACATATGTTAGCATAATAATAATAATGGTGAGTTCATTTACCGCGATACGCAAGTCCTTCAAGATTGCGCCATAGCCACCCCACATAATTGCATTTAATGCAAGGAAGAAAGACAAGTAAAACGGTAAAAACTCTACACTCTTTGTTCGAATAACTTGGAGCTGTATTAAAACAATTTTGAAAATCTATGTTAGTTTAATCAAAGGTGATAAAAATTATATTGAATGCTAATTAGTGAGATTATGTTTTTACCACAACGCTTAGAGGTGAAGCAAAAACACCTAGGGAGAATGCCACACAAATCCATCCAACAACACTTATACGAACTTTGCCTGAGAAAACGAACCATGAGACTAAAAAAGTTGCAACAAATCCTCCGATAGATAGAATCAACTCCTTCAATGCATGATTCTGCAAATAGTTACCCAAAAAAAAATTATCAAATTTGTTACAATTTTAATTTTAAACATTGAAGTCAAGAATAAAAAAATATTAATTTTATCTCACTTTATTGGTCATCTTTTTTAATTAGTCCATCCCAAAAATAATATTACATCTTATATGTTTCTTTAAAAATTGTGTGCAATACAACTACCCTTTAAAAATAAAATGAGTGGAATAATATACTCCTTCCGTCCAATTTTATGTCTGGTTTGGTTGGCTTGACTGAAATTATTTTTAATTCAATTTTTCATAATATTAAGTTTAGTATTAGTATACAAAATTTATATATTTAGAAACTACACTACAAGTACTACTGAACACAAAAATCAAATTTAAAAATAAATAAAAAAATACTAAAGAAAATAAACAAAGAAGAAAGAGTTAGTTTGACCAATAAATAGTAATTAAGTAATTAAGTATGGCAGATAAAATAAAACAAAAAGAGTAATATTTTGTTTTACCCTGGCTTTTTTTGATGCGTAGACAATGAAAACGGTGATATAGATAGTCTCAGTAACAATTCCCACTGAGTTGATGGTGATGAGAAGATTGGCATTCTTCACTAGGAAAGCATAGTACATCCAAAGCAGAGAAGATAACAATGCTATAACATATGGCAATGAGTGAAAACCCATTGTCGACTTCTCTTTGTAGATTCGAAGAAATGTTGATCTGCAATGTTATAGTAATGTGAATGACTAATTAACATTATATTCAACAATAAATATAAATATATTATCAATCACGAGTAAAATAATCACTAGTCCTTACGTTGGTACGAGAAATACGATGATGGATATAATGTTACCTGAAACATCATGTGGATAAACATTAGTAATAGGAAAAGAATAATAATAATAATAATAGTAAATAGGAAAAGAAGAATAAGCTAGTCTATGGTATACCCATAGACATAATTTTGGAACAGAAAGAAGAGGAAAAACAACACAATTTAATTACCTAGGATTCCAAACACTAAGAGCCAAGGGTGGTGAAAATCTAGAAGGGCCATTTCTTGAGATTATACAAGGAAAATATATAGCAATTTTTTTATCCTTAAAAAATATATCTTCTCTACCACTCTGTCACAGACTCTCACTACTTTTCATGCATTGCATGCAGTCATTGGGGAATGGCATAGTATTTATAGAAGGAGAGTTGTGTGGACGTCAGTGTAATTAAGTAGCTAATATTATTCAATTTGTGTACAGTGATGAGTTGAATTTGTAGTATGCGAGATATATCAATTCAATCTTTATTAACTATATTAATGAAGCATTAACTATAAGGTATCTAATAACCAGAAAAAAAAAAAAAACTCTGAATATTTTGGACCATGGCTTTTTTTTTTTTTTTTTTTTTTTTTTAAATGAAATGAAGTATTATTAAAATTAATCACAACCAAACCATACATAATGAGTTGGCAAATTATACCATGGACCAGAGTCTATCTTGCATTGTAGACCCTGGTCTAAAAATAATTTTCACATTCTGATCTATAGTTAACTGTAGATACAGAATGTGTTAACTGAAGGTACAAAATTTTTGTATCAGATTTCACAATGCAATATAAATCCTGGTCCATGGTATAACAATAGTAAGGAGTTTCTCCAAGATCATGAAAAATAAGCTTCCTTATGAAAATGGGCTATGTTGAACATATAACCATTAATGTGCAATTTAACTATGACTTTTAGTTGAGATGGAGCACATGCTTCAATTGGTTATTGTAAAAGCTAGATAAGGAACTAGCCAATATGCCCTTTTGAACGAAGCAAAATCATTTGACAAACATAGGACTCAACTAAGAGGGTAACTCGTAATTTTAAGTACGAAAGTCATGCTACTCCCTTCGACCACCCTTTTTGAGGCCAAAGTTAGCGTCTTTGAAAATATGCAAAAAAAAAAAAAAAAAAAAAAAAAAAAAAAAAAAAACAAACAAACAAAACAAAAAACTAGTGTTAAAGCAAACTATCCTCCAGAGTGTGGAAAAGTGGTTAAACAAAGAAAAAAATAAATAAAAATTAACATTAAATTATTTTACAATAAAAAAAGAAAAAAAAAATATAACCCTTCGTTCACAACTTTTCTCCCTATTTCCCATTTCTTTTTGAATTTCATTGTCATCACCTATACCAAATTGATTTAAAAAACAATACAGGATAAATTTAGAAGAATAAGTTGCGTACGTGTGTATATGTATATATATGTTGTGTCATGTGTGTATTCATTCATTTATTTAAATATACTGATGAGCTTGAGCAAAATAAAATCACACAAAAAAGCAATAAAAAATTTAAAATTATTAAATTAGGAGTTTATTTAAAAAAAAAACAAGTAACTTTCATATTCGTCCATTCAGCTTCAATATATTTGCAGAAATTAGAAAAAAAAAAATAATTAAGATTACTTGAAGAGAAAGCGTTTAATTGCTATTTTTTTTCACATTAATAGAAAAAATAAAACCCAAACTAGAATTTCTTCTTCTTCTTCTCTTCTCTTTTTATTTTTTTATTTTATTTTTTTTAATTTTTTTTGAGTACAAACTAGAATTTCTTTGTTTAAGTTATTATTCATTTTTTTAAATTTTTTTGAAAGGTATTTTTTAATAATTATATTTAGAAAATTATAAGTGTTTATTGATATATTAAACTCATTATGGTAATTTTATTGAGGTTAGTTTCACTACTGAAAATTATTGAATTTTCGACTACCTGAAAGTGATCTTAAATCAAGTCGAAAGCAAAAAGTGATCGGAAATATCAACAAAAGTTTTTTCGGATATCAAAAGTGATCGGAACAAGACTTTTGACTTGATTTAAGATCACTTTCAGGTGGTCGAAAATGACATAATTTCCAGTAGTGTTTTAAAGATTTTCAATATATCAAGATATATACACTTAGTTTTGTTTCTGTTTTTGTTTCGTTTTTTTTTTTTTTTTTTTTTTTTTTTGGGGGGGGGGGGGGGGGGGGGGGTGTTTAGGTTGGGTTGGGTATCCCCATTTTGTTTTCCAGAAAAAAAAAAAAGTATAAAAATTGTAGTTGAGCCAATTAATCCCACCACTCCTATATACATAGCACCGTCCACTAAATTAACCTCTACCATATAACATATAATGTCTGTTCAAGAACAAGTCCTTATAATCTAGGCTGCCGGGCAAGTCCAATGTACAGTAAAAATATTAATTATATTCTTGATTACTAGTATTTACCACATGTTAATTTTACAAATATATATATATATATATATATATATATATATATATATATATATATATATATATATATATATATATATATATATATATATAAAAGATCATATGAGAACAAGTCTGTAGAAGAAAATTATGAATTAATCACAACCTTATACCTGGAAAATTTGAACGCACCAAATCATACCTTTACTATGCAAACGCGATGACACATTTAGTATTAGTGTTTAGCACAGTTAGTATTAAAAGTTTACACTTGCAAAATGCGAAGTACATTGTAATTTAGGGTTTCGATTTTGGAGTTTTATGACTGAATTTTTGATTTTATTTGGTTCAGTGGTTCACCTTTTACTGCTTGAGGTGTAACCATTTAAAATTTAGAATTTTCGTTGATTTTATAGAATTTACCAGATTTGTAAAAAAAAAAAAAAAATTGAAAGCAAAAAACGCTGAGCTTAAATTAATGCAAAAGCGATACAACAAAATCCGGGGGATAGAGTCCCAGACTCCCATTACAAATAACTAGCCTGAGAGGAGGCTTTAGAAGCTAAAGTATATTTGCATATTTAGTTGTTAAAAATTACATATTTAAGTGTTAAAGTTTGCACAGTGAGGGATATGATGATAATTTTTGTTTGATTCCTTTTGTATATGTTTGTTCCATTTAGAATTCTTATATATATATATATATATATATATATATATATATATATATATATATATATATATATATATATATATATATATATATATATATATATATTTATTTATTTATTTATTTTTATTTATTTATTTATTTATTTTTTCAAAATAAAGAGCTAATTCATTAATCAATAGATGAAATAGTTACAATAAAGATCGATAGAATGATAAAACATTCTTTACAGTTAGACATAAAACAACTTTCCTAACAATGCTAAAAGAAACTTGAATCACAAACTGTGTTACAAGATTGAAGCTGAATTCATTGGAGGAACCTGAAGCTTCTTTGATGTTATTAATGATCTGGCTATCCAAGACTGACTCTGTTTGAGAAGTCTTGCATACCACCTGAGTAACTATTGCGGCTCTTCTGTCGTCCGTAGACAATATCTTCATTAATCTGAACTGCATATCATGGTTCAGATCTTCTTCGTTGCTCAGGATGAGATAAAATACGCCATGATCAATTAAATCGTTTCACCTTAATGAAAAAAGAACTCGCCAAAAAAACGAGAGGAAATAACTTGCCAAAGAAGCGAGAAGAAATAACTTGTCAAAATAACTTATGAAAAAAGTGAAAAACACATATCTTTAGCATTCCTATGTTATTTATGGAAGTTGGGAGTTTTTTTCAGGATGATTGAGTATTGGAATGAAATTTCCCTTCTCTGAATTCTGGCAATTTATATCCTACACCACGGCGCGCGTTGCACTATGCGCCCAGATGCAAAATGACGTCGTTTTATTATTATTTTTTTTTTGAAATTTCCCGCCCCAGTGAATGGCAGTAGTTTTTTCTTTAAAAAAAAAATCCGCTGTTCAAGAATGTACATAATGTTATACTGGAATACACATAATGTTATACATGAATGTACATAATTATATAACAAAATATACATACTCTTTTTAAAAGATAATACACATAACCTAACATAATACATAATAAACATAAACTTTTAACATAATACACATCAACTCTTAACATAATACACACAAATTTTCTGATTTGGATGTACATAATTGTATAAAAAGAATGTACATAATTGTATAAAAAAATACACATAACTGTATGAACCAATACACATAACGTTGTGAACAAATACACATAACGTTGTGAACAAATACACATAATCTCAGCAACTTCCTACCGCGCCTCCCAACACTACTCCAAAACGACGTCGTTTTGGGAGGCGTGCGGCGCACAGTGCTATGTGCGCCGTGGTGTAGGATATAACGATTGCTGAATTCTCTCTCACTCTTATTCTCTCCCTAAAAATCTTCTTATTTTAAAATTTGATTGTTGTCTTTTTTCTTTTTTATTATTATTTATTTATTTATTTATTTTTTTAACTTATGCTGGCAAGTCAAATAGTAAGATTATTGCCAAATAATCTGCCACATAGGTTTTTACCAGTTGTTACTTGAAGCTTAATCGGCTGATGGGCTAGAATGCGTTAAGATTGTGAGTTTATGTGTTTAATTACACTTTTTGAAAGGTCAAATGCCTACTTGACTTTTAGTGTAAAGTTCAAGTGCCTATTTAACACTTTTCTCTAACTTTTTTGGTATATGGACTTCTTGGCCACCCAGGTGTTTTTGAAACAGGTTATCAATGGTCGGTACGAATTATTTGTATATTAGTTTCGTAACCGTTGATATTATTTTTATAATAAGCATGACCGTTTTAAATGTTATAATTTGATTATTAAATCAGTTTTATTATGGCATTGAATGCTATAATTTAATATGCACATATATAAACTTTGTGTTTGGGCAGATTTTGCATGCCACGAAAATATTTTTTCACTCCAAGCACAATTGTTTTCTCTCTACAAAATTTTGCCCATTCATTCTTAAAAGCTTGTGTGTCAAGCCTTTGTTCTAGTTCGCCGATGATATTTTTGTAAATATTGTGAACTTTTGTTGTAGGTTAGAATATATATAAACCTATTTTTGTAAATAATCTTGAACAATAATAGTGATGAACAGCTTTGCGCCTTTGCGTCCTATTATAAACATGATAACGAATGACTATGTGTGGACCGATAGTACAAGACCAAATTGTCAAAATCAAACAAATAATTGAGAGATTACTTCTTTTCCTCCAAGATTGGAAAATGTGGCGTGCATGGAATCCAATCACTTTTCAGTGCCTACATTATTAATATTTAATTTCTAACCCACAATTTGGAGCTACATCTTATATTATTTATTTATTATTTGAACCGCTATTTTAAACCAATATCTCTTGTACGTATACACTTTGGGTCTAGTGTCCCGAGTAATAAAGTAATTACTTTTCTATTCTTATTTTGTACTTTTATACTCGATTTATGATGGATCCGGTTCTGACAAAACTATCAATCGTATATAATAAATATAACAAACATAAATAAATGGGAATAAAATACTCTTTAAATGGAGGGTTCAATTGAGTAATGTAACATGAACTGAACGAGACTCAATTAAACAAAATTTTATGTTATATGGAATTTTAGATAATTTGTAATATTAATAGAATTCATATATATAACATGCACATACTAAATATATTTAATGGGATAAAGTAAATATGCGATCAATCTAGCTAGCTACATTCTCTAGCTGGTCTCCATTCTCACTTGATGGACTAGCTCAGCCTGCAGCCAGCTGCCGCTATCTGGCCTCTAGTCCTCCACCGCCGCCGGCGGAGTTGCCATTTTTTCCGATCATCTTCTATTCCCCTTGATCATTATTCTCCATATTTATTTCAGTAACTCCATCACTTATATTCCTCCCAGAATCCACAGGGTGCACCAATTGGTTAGATGTCCCTAGCATCTCCACGTTCACTATGTGTTCTTGTACATTCTTGTTTTCCTCTACAACTGGTTTTGCGTTCCGATAAATTGCGTACAACAAAATTTGTAGCAGTCCCAAGAAAAATCCCAGGATGTTTGGCAACTGCAAAATTAATAAAATGTTTTATTTTATTTTGGAAACATTCTTGGCACTATAACATTTAATTTGAGGTGAGATTCAATTTGTTACCGCAATACGCAAGTCCTTCATGATTAAACCATAGCCAAACCACATAACTGCGCTCAATGTGAGGAAGAATGACAAGTAGAATGGCAGGAACTCCACGCTCTTAGTTCGGAATACTTGAAGCTGTTTAAAAATGATTTTAAGATCGAATTCATGTTAGTTTTATCATAGGTTATATGAAGAAATTATTAAAAATTTTGTTGTAAATTAGTGAGACTATTATATTCTTACCACAATGCTAAGGGGTGACGCAAAAACAGCTATGGAGAAAGCCACGCAAATCCAACCAACAAGGCTAATACGAATTTCTCCCGAGAAAGGAAACCACGAGACCAAGAAAATTATAGAGAATCCTCCAATGCACAGAAACAATTCCTTCAATGCGTTACGCTATGCATGGTAAAAAAAATAACAATTTTATTCATTTTGTTTACTAATAAATGTAATGAAGAATAAAAATTAATATTTTGCATTACGTACCCTTGCTTTACTTGATGCGAAGACAAGGAAAATGAGGATATAGATAGTCTCAAATACGATGCCTATTGAGTTGATGGAGATGAGAAGAGTGGCGTTTTTCTTGATGAAAGCATAGTACATCCAAAGCATGGAAGAAAATATTGCTATAACATATGGCACCGAATGATATCCCATTGTTGATTTGGCTCTGTAGATTCGAATAAATATCGACCTGATAAAACATTACAATAACGTAAATAATTGACACTCAACAACAAATATATCTTATCAAACTAAAATAAAATCAGTAATAATTCTTACACTGGTGCAAGGTATACGAAGATCGATATAATGTTCCCTGAAACATCATTCAGATTAACACAACAAGAAGCATGTTAATGATGTATGGTATGCCTGCAGATCAAACATCATTTTGGAACAAAAAGAGAAGAGAGAAAGAAAGAAAAAAAAAACATAGAATTTACCTAGGATTCCGAACACTAAGAGCCAAGGGTGATGAAGATCTAGAATTGCCATTTCTTGGGACTAGGAATTTACTAGGAAAAATATGATATAGCCAACCAAATTCCTATAAACTCCTGCCCCTCTGTGGCACACTCTAACTTTTCATGAAAATTATGGGAGCTAGGGGAATACTATTTATAGAGGGAGAGCTCTGTGGTGGGTGTCAGCGTAAGCTAGTAGATAGTCATCTTCACCTTGTACTCTCAGCTCAATTTGTAATACAATAATTTAATTCTATAATTGTCAACAATTAATCAAGCATTTAGTTTCATTAAAACAATAAAACAGCTCAAAAAAAGTGACCGAATAAGTAAAACATGATTTTTATATCTGATCAATACCATTATAGTCTCGTCACACGTGATTTTCTTAGTATGATTTATCTCTCCTGTGTAGTTTTTATAGTTGACCAGTACACCTATATACATAAATATATATATATTCTTAGTTAGAAGAACCATAAATTTTCCCAACCGTCAATATGGGTACGCTATATTTCTGGTACCTAGGAACCCCACTTTACGATCCTTTGCCCCAAAACGTACAATCATTAGCAGCTCCTACATGTGAATATGTTGTGGTAGCAGCTACGTGTCAAGCGATAAATCGATTGATATTTTGAACCATTAATTAACTGGAAAGGAAAACGCAGCGTCCCATATATGAAAAATATAATAGGTTACGAAATGTATCATATATATATGTTATCTGTAACGGCAAATATATTAAGGTTTTCCGAAATCTAAAGCCATATACTATTAAGGAACGGCCATGAATGAACGGCACACGAAAACAGCAGTGTCGTCATAGGTTGATGGCTAGATAGCCGCATTTACGATAATTGGTAGCTGGCTAGGATGTTGAAATGAGGATAGATATGTATATATATGCCAGTTGGGAAAGAAGGAGGTGAGGGGTATTGTACGCCACGGAATGTGGAGTTTTCCCTTTCTTGGAACGTCGTATCCGAGGAAGGAATGGGTATATTGAGGAGCAGTCATATATAGTTGCGTGCTTTGTTAGGGCACGCGGAACCGTTGCGGTTACATCATAACGTAGATGGTTTTGTTTTGTGTGACGAGGCGGTTCGGTTTGCAAGTCATCATATGATGGAGGGCCCGGGGGATAGGATGAGGTTAAGTGGGATGTAGATAGTGTGAGTATGGTTTGGTGTAGTGGTTTGGCCCGCAATTTAATTACTTTGTTTAATTTGGGATACAGATAGTATGAGTGAGATAGATATACGAAGATGCGGTTAGATTTGAGTTGTTGATCAAATCTAGATCAACGGCTTAAATCAATGTAATTTTTAAAAAAAAAAAAACGTACGACATATAACAACAGCATATTAGAAACAAATTACAACAGCATATTACACCTAATGTATATTAGGACATCATATTTGAATTGATACGTAAAACAACGCACCTAAAGCTTTAAACCAACGCACATTAAAAATGAAAACAACTTAAGAAGGAAAATTATTAAGAGAAGGCCAATTTCGTACTAGTACTCAATCTTGTCTTCAATTCTATACTCAATTTTGTACTCTTTCTGGTGTTACTTTCTTTCACCCTTCCCTTCTTCTGTTACACTTTTTCCCCAAAATCGTCAGGAAAACAACACACCTTAAGAAGGAAAATCACGCACTTAAAGTCTTAGGTCGACGCACCTTAAGTTTCAATAACTGACGCACCTTAAGCATACAAATCACGCACCTTAAGAAGAAAATCATGCACCTAAAGATTTAGACCGACGCACTTTAGGTTTCAAAAACTGACGCACCTTAACCACACAAACCACGCACCTTAAGAAGTAAAACAACGCACCTAAAATTTTAAATCGACGCACCTTAAGTTTCTTCAAAAGAGCACATACCTTAAGTTCTCAACTGAAGAACTAACGCACCTTAAACACAGAACCCACGCTCCTTAAGAAGGGAAACCACACACCTCAAGAAGGAAAACCATGCACCTTAAGAAGAAAAACCACGCACCTTAAAAGTTGACCTAGATGAAAAAAGATCAAATTGTCACTTCATTTTTTTAATCATTGTTAATCTTGGACGTTGATCTTCACAAGATCAATGACTCTCATCTCACCACAGTTTATATATATATATATATATATATATATATATATATATATATATATATATATATATATATATATATATATACACATATATACATATATACATACATATATACGGTTCAAGTGAAAATAAATTCTTACATAAAAAGCGAGGAGTAATTTAGGGTGTGTTTGAACACCTGGATCACATTGCCTATATTAAATAAAAAAATGCCTAAGCACAAACAAAAACGGCAAAAGTAACTAAAAATCATAAATAGTAACTAAATATCACTTCAAAGTGTTGAAACAACGAAGCAACAACCCTAGTAGTGATTTGGGGATTTCCGATTGAAGCAAGGGTAAAGGAAGGATTTGGGAATTTCTGATTAGAGTGATTTGAGTCTCGACTATGTTTCTTACACGCTGGAAGAAAGGGAAAAAAACAAGTAACCAGATTGAAAACAGGGGTGAGAATCGACTATCCGGTGAAATTAAATGCATTTGGGGTGTTTAGTACGTGGAGTAATCTTTTTTTTAGTCTAGTGGTCTAATTGTACTGTTTTGTTACGTGGCCAATTTAACCTGTATTCTAAAAATATAATAAGATATAAAAAAAATGTATAAGGCTGAACTGAGGGATTTAAACTTCAATATTTGCATCATCACACATCTAGACCAGAAATGAAAAGCATCACTCTTTTGGAAGAAGCAGAAATGAAAAGCATCACTCTCAAGTATTGCTTTTCCAATGTTTTCCTTGAAAATTGAGCTTCACTATCAAGGGTACGTTGCTTTTCGAATGATTGCCTTGAAATTTGTTAAATTGATGCATTCCTTGAATATGTACGTACTAGGAATGATTTGTAGCATTATTAAGATATTCTTTTTTATACCAAAAGTAATATATATTATTTTTAAACTAGTACTCCGTAGTTATCTTGTGGTCGTACATCATATTTTTTTAATGGTCAATAGAATTTTAACTCATGTTTTACTCTAATATCAATTATTTAAATCAAACATTTATCATTATATTAAAATAGTTAGTAATAAATATATAATTTTATTTTCTTATATTTTTATAGCAATCCGTGCTATGTTTTGAGTAGTAAGATACTAAATTTACCCTTCAAACCTCTACCATCATAATAAAATTTTAATATTTAGTAGAAAATAAAATATATTACTTTAAAAAGGATATTAGTTTATTGCATCAAAGGTATAAGTATTTGGTAGAAAATTACTAGATATTATTTTAAAAATATTCATTTTTGTCTTAAAAGTGATATATAAGCATTACAACACATTTTGGCACATTTAGTTTGAGCCTGTGATTATTAAGAAGAATTAAGCTTTTAACCTTTCAAATAATCTTTCTTTTTTCTTTCTCAACCTATATGATGGATTCCTCAATATTTTCAATTATCAAATATTGCTTTTCGTCACATTACATTTTTCATTTTTTATTTTTTTGTAATTAATCTTGAAAAATAATAGTGGACAGCTTTGTGTATCCCATCCCTATTAAACATGACGAATGATGATTTGATGGTTGAAGATCAATTTGTCAAAACCAAACAAATAATGAAATAATTGAGAGATGATTATTACAAGTGTTTTTCATCAAAAATTGGAAACTGCGGTATGAATGGAATCCAACCATATCATTTCCAATAAAAGAAAAAACAAATTACTTGAAATGTCTCAATATAGAATAAAAATTAATTTCTTGAAAAATAATTTTTTAATATGCGCTTTAATATTTTTATAATGCGTAATTTAATCAAAAAAAAATTATAAATTTTCAAATTTAAAATTTTAATAATTAAAAATAATAAAATAAAAATTAAAAGACCAAACAATTCAATAGTTTTTTTTTTTTTTTTTTTTAAAAAAAAAAAAAACAAACAAACTATTTCTTGGCTTGGATATGATTTTGAGCTGGCAAGCACTTTCATCCCCCATGCCAGTGAACGTAACACTCTCTAACTATATCATAAATGATGATAGGAATAAGGTTCAAATTGGCCACTGAACGTAATCTGAAAGTGCAATTAGGCCACTGAACGTAACCTGAAAGTGCAATTAGGTCACTGAACGAAAAAAAAAAAAGTGCAATTAGGCCATTGAACACTCCAAAAATGTGCAATTTCACCTGATAGCAGGTTACCCTCAATTTTAGCAGGTTATCTGCTTACGTGGCAGCTGAGTTGGCATTTTTAATAAATTTTTAATAAATTTTAATAATAAATTTTTATTAAAATTTTTTTAAAAAAAATAAAAATGACTTTATTTTATTTTTTATTTAATTTTTTCCAATTTTTTATAAAATTTATTATTAAAATTAAGGGAAAATGGCGAGTTTGGTCCCTGAGTTATAATGGTAGTGACGACTCAGTCTCTGAGTTATTACTGTATCCATTTTTAGTCCCTCAGTTAAGAGCGAAGTGGCGCATTTGGTCCCTGACCGTTAAAATTGACAGAAAAATTAAAAAATATTTAAAATTTTAGGGGTAAAGTAGGAAATTCACATTTTATTCACTTTCTTATATTGAAATCACTTTTGCAACATTATTTTCAACTTCCTAGCATTCTATTTCAAGGTCCTTCAACTCTAAAAGCAATTCAATAATCTTCGTATGACTTGTTAGTAACCTGAGTCTCGTATAAGGAACTTGTGATTGATCAGTACAAACAAGATAACACTTGATCACTGTCTTCAAGCATGTAAAACACATCATCCGAAAAGTGTATGATATCTCTTACTAAACATAATGGTAATTAAACCATAACTTTTGAAATACAAGAAGATATCAAATTTCTCATGTTATTTTTATGACAAATTCACCAAGGGAGTAACTTGAGATTTTTAGTACGTAAAATTCTTTCGTAAGCTCTGCAGTAACTTAATTAAGAATTGTATATCTTGAGAATATATGGATTGAACAATCATGAAATAAGAGGCTAAAAAGTGAAAATAATGTTGTGAAAATGGCTATGATATAA